ATCCAGTCGTTCAGATCACTGGTGCAAATCCCTTCCTGACTGACATGGTGATTCCATTCAGGGAGGGATTCCACTTCCCAGGTCAAAGGTCCCCATGAAAATCAATAGCCTCTGGCCGAGCAGATAGGAGATGCTGTACCGTCTGTGTTTCTGAAAACAGTCAATGTCTGACAGAGATGTTCGCATATGAGAACAAACTGCCTTCCACTGTGAGAGGTGGATCACTACCAAATATGTGTTTTGCCAGAGCGCCTTCGAAGCCAGCTGTCACGTGATACAGTTTTTATGGATGGAATTGCTCTGGTACCCAGCAGCACCGTCAGGAATCTGGGAGTTCTCTTCGACCAGGATATGACCTTCAACTCGCATATAAAGAAGACTTCAAGGACTGCCTATTTTCATCTACGTAACATATCGAAAATCAGGAACTTCCTGTCTCAAAGTGATGCAGAAAAATTAGTTCATGCATTTGTCACTTCCAGACTGGACTACTGTAATTCTTTGTTATCAGGCTGCTCTTATAAATCTCTTAAGCCTCTCCAGTTGATTCAGAATGCTGCAGCACGTGTAACTAATTCAGCTTCTTTCCGGGAGTTTTTTTGTGCTTTCGCCCCTATCAGGTCTCCGTAGATCGCAGTTCCTTCGGGACCCTGGTCCTGACACCTACCGTGGCCATGCTGACGCCTGCTGCTGCCATCATCATCATCATCATCATCATTATTTTAGATATTAATCATATTACTTTACTCATAAACCGACATTACCCTCTCCTAAAATCTCTGTGCTCTCCCTCCCCACAGGATTCTGTGGATGGTGGTTCTATCTGATGGTGGTTCTATCTGATGGTGGTTCTATCTGATGGTGGTTCTATCTGATGGTGGTGGTCCCTGCAGTGGTCCTGCTGTGCGCCTGGCTTACTACTCACAATTACTTGAATCATTTCTGTCATAGGAATTGCATGTATTATACATTGTTCATTCTGTACACATGGCATCCATTGTAGTCTGTCCATCCCGGGAGTGGGATCCCTCCTCTGACGTTCTCCCTAAGTTTCTTCCCTTTTTTCCCTCTTGTAAGGGTTTTTTCATTTTTTGGGGAGTTTTTCCTGTGCTGATGGTGGGTTTCGGGGCAGAGGATGTTGTATGTGTACAGACTGTAAAGCCCTCTGAGGCAAATTTGTAATTTGCGATTCTGGGCTATACAAAATAAAATGACTTGACTTGACTTGACTAAAATTGTTATTGTGCAGCAACAACTTAACTTACATTATTGCCCTGGTAGCAAAACAAATGAACATTAATGCATGACAATTAGTGTACACGGCAAAGTTACTGCACTAAACGGTTCATTGATTTTAGATAAAAATAAATACACTCTAAATATACCTTTTAGCATTCTTATAGAGATCTGAATAATCACAACGTTAACCATTAATAACCACAACGTTAACCACTAAGAATCACAACGTTAACCACTAATAACCACAACGTTAACCACTAATAACCACAACGTTAACCATTAATAATCACAACGTTAACCACTAAGAATCACAACGTTAACCACTAATAATCACAACGTTAACCACTAATAATCACAACGTTAACCACTAAGAATCACAACGTTAACCACTAAGAATCACAACATTAACCACGTGCTACAACGTTACCACTACTATTGAAACTAATGATTTAGATGTTTTATCAATCCCATTTATGTGAATGTCATACAGTAATGTCATGTCATGTTTTTTGCTTTTACTTTATAGAATCCACACATTACCACACACTGGTGGGAGGAGAAAGATCTACAGTGTTGAACAGGATTCTACCATCGTAAATATGGTTGTGGTAAACAATGCAATCAGACTGCGTGAAAGCAGCAATCGCAGATCAGGGAGCATTTAGAAATGTAAAGTTTGTGAGTTTGGCAACTACTGATAGTCGTTATAGGGTTAGATATACTCTGTTCTGACATTGTTGAGGAGGAGGCAAGATCCAGTATGTGCAGGTACAGATCTTTATTGTAATACCTTGTTTTATCAGTTACATTCGACTGGAATATTTTGCTTCATGAATTGGCTTTATTTCTTAGAGGATAATGTAGTTTGAAGCTGAAGGGGCGCATCACAAATTCATTTATAGTGGATGAAACCAGCTTCCACCTCTGTAAAATGAGGGGACGCGGGAAGAACATCATTGGGCAGAGGGCCACTGTCAGAGAGATGTGTGCTGCCATCTCCAATGATGGGGTCCTTTGCCACATACAAACTATCGGCTCATACAATACAGAACGCCTTCTCACATTTCTTGATGCACTGAATGAAGGACGGGTTCCACCCCAAGAGAGAGGGCTGTTGAGGCATGACTGTATATCATCATTTGGGACAATGTGGCCTTCCACCACTCTCGTTTTGTGAATGAATGGTTTGCAGCACAGCCTCGCATGATGATGCAATTCTTCCCTGCGTACTCTCTTTTTATGAACCCAATGGAGGAGATCTTCTCTGCTCGTGGTCGAAGGTTTATTATCATATGAATGCTGTATGCCTGGCCAGAGGTGCAGAGGACTGCCAGAGGACTGCCATATATATACAGATATATATATATACAAATATATATATGTATATATATATATATATGTAGTGTTCAAGGATGTCCACACTTCCCTCTCGTCCTGGACATGAGTCTTTTATTTAAAATACTTGCTGAATGAGGGAGCTTTAAACTATTTTCAGTGTACACTTCAATCTAAACTCACTATTCAATTTGACGAAGCCGTTAATTTCACTATTAATGGGAACAGTGCTGCTGGGATTTGGACTTAAGATTTGCTGTCTGGTCAGAGTAGTTTAAATCATCTCTCTCATTGAGCGACACACTGAGCTTCGCTGCTTTAGCTTTGAAGCAGCAGTCACCTTTCATGTGGCTTCCTGCGTGCATACGACTAATATAAAGTTTATTTTTTAAGTTAAACTCTGAGATTAGTGATGTGAGCACCATCATGTTTTTTTGTTTTTTTCAGATACTGTGTGCTGTCAAGGATTTGCATTTTACAGAGTCCAAGCTTCACAACAAATCAGCAGAATTTGTGCATCAACGTCCAATGGCATACCTGGAAACTCCAATCTCATTAGGCTCTCCTGATCGGGCCTCTCACTGGTGATGGTGACAGCTAGAAATGGCAAATATCATTTGAAAGCTTTGTACATGCCCTACAGTGTGGGTAATGTAGCTGTTGGGACGATGTAATCTGATTACTTCCCGAACTCCCAGCGGAGAGAGAAAGCAGCGCGTCGACAGTCGACTCCCTTCCTGCTGTGTCAGTGTATCTGGACGAAACACACCGTGCTTCATTATGTGCCCAACATCGAGTACATTTTTCTCCCCCAAAAAACACCGCTGACACTTTTCCTCTCCATCTGCTCACAGCGCCGTCCAACACCTTCCCCGCAGATTGATGCCTCACCTTATTTTATAGAAGCCCTATTGATTAGCAGCGTGCTTGTCAGTGGTGCATAAAATTAACACTGTGTTACGGGGGCATGGATTTCTGTCAGCCCTTGACAAGATAACCCATTATTGGAGGGCCGCTTCTAATTTGTTTTTGTTTATTCAGAGGTATAAAGTAGCATTCCGCCTGCCCCAATAATAAGTCTATTACCCACGAACGCTCGCCGCACCATCGACAGCCACTAATCTTTTGCTGCTACTAATTACATGAGGATTCTCAACCTTAATTAGCCAATCTTTACCCCAATTTACCTGCTTAATGCTGCGCTCAACCAAACTGCACTTGTTCCACTCTGCTGAAGGGGAGCTTACAATTCTCAGCATTTGTCAGGAAAATGTCCAAAATGTGTGCTTTTTAAATCTCTCCTTTTTTTACAATCTTATTATCAATGTCGGGTGTTATTATCATTTCTTATTTCATTTGTCGATTGTCTTTTCCGCATGCAGTCGTGTCTCAGGATTCCCAAAGCTTCTTCAAATCAAATAAGTATAATACTATTAATAATTATGTTGGATCAATACAATATACAATATGTTTTGTCTCTGCATGTGTCAATACTCATTGAAACAATCTCATATTTATTGTGAACTAACCAACTACATCTAAAGGTAACGTTGTAATTGTCTTTTGTGCATTTCTTTTGGCACATTTCCCCCCAAATGCAGTCTGACAACAACGTGAGTTTATATCGACAGACGCGGCGGGCGGCTCGCCCGTCAAACTACAGAACCGCGTCATGTCCGTGCAGAAGCCAGTTCGGGTTGTATTGGTTTTAACGGTATCTGTCTCTCAGATTTCTGCCTTCATCCCAAAACGATGGGGTTTAACTGACTTATTGTCGACACTTTTACTGCAGACATGGTTTCATTATATTATTTGTATCACCTCCACTCTTTTGCATTGGAGGCAGATTACTGAGGTACGTCCACACATGGACAAAGCTACCCGTGTGGAGCGACACCACATGGAGGAAGTCTGAACAGTTGTTTATTGGTTATTAAGATTAACTAAAGATTTGTCGGCCCTTTCCCCTAATGTTCAACCGATAAGGTTCATTATGGACCCAATTCCTTTCTTTGGCTCATCTGTATCTTCTGAAATACTTTGTTTGATAACCGTGTGAACTTTGTTAGTTGAAAAATGTTTTTAAAAAAGTGGTTTTCAAAGGTCAACATCCGCTGGGACTCTAGTATTAAATGCAAGTGAACGGATCGTCTGCACAGAGGTCACAGGCCGCTATGTAATCATTTCAATCAGGCAATAAGGATTTCACTTCTCCGCATCCAAGCACACTGCGAACTCTGCTGTGTGAGTGTTGAAGATGTTTCCTGTTTTTTGTAAAAACAACATGAACCCAATTTAATCTGCTGAAAAGACGGGTTGTGTTGCCCGCAACACAGTCTGCTTCAAAGGGAAGGCGTGTCAAAGTGTCTCATTTATTAGGACTCACAGGGAACGACGAGAATAAGAAGACGCTAGAGGCGTTCTGCTGAAGTTAAAAGCATCATTTTTATTTCTAAATACGCTACAAGTCAAACGGGAAAATCTCTTTCACCTCTTTTTTTTTGTAAATTTTGAACCCCTGAGCACCACAATCCAGCATTCCCATAATGCACTGGATTTATCCAATGAACGAAAAGGGAAATAAAAGAAACATTTAAAGCCTCATACACAGCTAATAAAGCGATTAGTGTCTAAAAACTACCAGCATAGCATAATACAAAGGAAACATGTTATTTGATTACACAAGTCAATTCTTTTCTTTTTTTTTTTGCATGCAGAGCTGTCGCTTTCTCTTCGCTCGTCTGCTCTGCTGTTAGTTATGACCCCCACCTCCCCCAAACCCCCCCCCCGCCCCAAAAATGAGCGTGGTCACAACATGAAAAAGTCTTTGGTGAGAAGAACGCCAGTAATTCGGTGCTGCGGCTCTAACAGTCGTCTGAAAGTGTCCCGTCCTCATTCAGCAGTGTGTGAACGGGGGGGTCGGGGGGGGACTGTCTTTACAGAGTGTGAGACAGGATGATGAAGGAAGTAGGAAATGCCGGCCTGAAGGATCCTGGGGCACCCTCTCTTTGGGAAGGGGGGGTGGAACCTTTGATACGATGAAACATAATCCCCACAATTCTACGGTAGTTTTGGTTTGCTGGAGGCCGTGCGCCCCCTCGGGTGTCACCCCCCTCCTGGATGTGCGTCAGGAGCCGATTCACATGCCCTCACCACCACATGCTGTATGCCGATGACAGGACGTCCCGCCAGGAGACCTCTGTTCATGTCCCATGTACGTCCAAAAGCAAATGCCGACATTTAACTGTTCTTTTGTCATTGAAGTTTTGTACTTAACAACACTCATGCACGTTGTGCCACAAACAAAACGTGGCTGTTTCACCTAATAAATAGCTATTTGAAGGCTAACCAGGATCCTAAACATAACCAAGTATTTTTCCACATGGTAGTTGCAGTTTTGACAGTTGAACAATTAGAACGGCTAACGAACAATCGGCTGACGGGCCCCGACACGGACGTCTGAACTTCTCCCGCTTTGCACGTCTGCTGAGGGAGGACGAACATCTGTCTGGTCCAGCTGCTTTTCAGACACGAGTCCGTGGACGGCGAGTTGGTGTCATGGTTTCCAGTGTTTGCGTGCGAGGACGCGACTCTCTCCGCGTCCACCTGCAGGGTCTGATTGTTAAAGAACACATTTCAAGTAAACGTGAGAATCATAAAGCGCGACCGCCCACGACAGCTCAGTCGATTGTCCTCTGCTGCACGCTTGTGTGCAATTTCAACGTCAACAGCTGCACACCGTCACACAATATTCCGTTCGCTTCATCGCCAGTGAATCGGTGAATCAGGGTGGGGGCGGTTTGTGTCCCCGAACTAGACGGGCATTGTTTACATGGAGAACTCTGAAAACATCTGGGTGAAAAGTCCGACGGGGGAAGACGGCATCTCTGAGAAGTGAGTAAAGGATCCTTAAAGTTGGTTCTCATAGAGAAGTGACCAACACATGCAGTGTGTTTTAAGGTCAAAAAGCTGAATGGGAAACGGAAACAAATCCATAAAAAACGTCTCAGTTTGTGGGCAAAACACATCAGGAGTTTTCTAGTCTTTGGTTGAGAAAGAGTTTTTTTAGCGAATGATTTGTGCCTCTGCATCTACTACTGCCGAACTAGTTAAACTAGTAAAAGTTAGAGGAGAAACCTGGAGAGAAAACTGCTGCACGAGCCCCACGTGCTGGTTTAAGGACCATCGCGTCCATCGCTGCCACGTGCTGTCGTCCCCCCGGACCGAACACCCATGTTTTCATGCAGATACGACAGGTTTTTCATAAGCGTCCCACAAAAAAGGCTGTTTTGTTGCGCCGGCACAACACCCAACGTAAAAAGCACTGTGAACACGTTCGCGCTTCATTCTTTGGTCTAATCTATCGGGTTCTTCCTCTTTTTTCTACGTTAGACTTGAAAGCGTTTTGTGTCCACAAACACACGGATATGAAACACCACGAACACACTGGCAATCAAGATTGTGGACATGCTTGTTGGCAGTCTATAACAAATGAGGTAGATGTGTGTCAATAAAATATTCCCTTCTTTGGTATAATTGTCATAAACAAAATGTGAAAAAAATATATATATGAAAAAAAAAAAGAAGAAAAGAAAAATCCAGTGATCTGTTGAAGTAAAACATTGGTTTTCAGGTGGCTGTACAATACAAAATAAAAGAAATTCATGAGGTATATCTTGTATTCATACTATACTATGACTATGTACAGGTAGATAGGTGAGGTATCTGCATTCAAGAGGGCTCTTAAAAAGGGTTTGCAAACAATGCGGTGGAGCCGAATGCGACGTTTTCAGGGTCCAATAGAAAAAACACAATAAATAAAATCTGCAAATAAATGCTTTAACAGACTCGATAGAAATCCATATACCTTCAAACCGGTTCCCATTCCCCTTCACGATAAAGAAAATCTTTGATATATTTACGAAGGGAAAGAAAGAAAGAAAAAAAAATGGAAGAGGGAGAAGCTCTGATGTTGGACACAAGTGCATTACTAAAAAGACAAGCAGACAAAGGTACTGGGTGACTGCTGCCGGCTTCCTGCAGACTACAAGTCTCTTTGTCACTTCCTGTATTCCTGCTCACTTGCTGCCTTCCAGGCCGAAGTGCTCGACTCTTTCTGTCGCCCCCGTGTCTGTTATGAACTCAATGCCGCTCCGAAAGGCCTCCGCCCCGCCTGCATTGTGCTTCTCACGCGTCCGATGGCGTTATCAGACCCCTTTCTGCACGGCCGGGGGTCCCGGCTTTTACTCAATGTGCGTTGCGGGAGGTGTCCGCAAAGACGCGACGCAATCGTCCGCACTGCGCCGGCATTTCTGACCGTGCCGGTGGAGCAATGGTGTCGATCGCAATATTTACTGAAATGGATGATGAAAGCGCTGATGCGCAACCTCAATTCAAGCCTGCGCACAGTCTGATGCAGCGCGGAGGCCGAGAGATCAGGAACTACGAAAGTGTATGAAACGTGTTACGAAATAATACGACATTTTCTAATGAAAAAGTACTCTGTGTAAAGAGCAATGGGCCTCATTCACCAAATGTTAATAAGAACAAATGTGTGCTTAATCCCCACCCTCACACAGTTTTCACAAAGATTCTGGCATTCACCAATGTTTTCTTAATTGGGATTTGTTCTTGAGTAAGAACAACCAAGAGCACTCTTACACACAATTGAGAGCTGACAATGTTTGCGCAAAACAGTTAGTTATACCGCTTTCGTTCGTTCTACTTTAAAATGAAATATTTCTCCTTTCTTAAAACAAATGTAAGTAATAACAGGAAGGTGTTGGTGAATGAGGCCCAACGTGTCCTTGTGGTTGGAACTGGTTTTGGATCAAGCGGTCGAGCTACGGCGATTCACGGTGCCAAAAAGCCAAACCTCGGACTTTGGATTGTTACTTTCGTCGGTTCTACCGCGTGTTGCAGGGGTCAGGTTCCGGTTGCCTGGCGACAGTAAGCACATCGGTTTTCCCAGCGCTTTCAGCGCTTCCTGTGGGCGGCCAAGTGGCCGTATTGGAGGTATTCAGGCTGTGAACGTCTCTGTGACTTTTTACATGATTTCATCTCTGATGACGTGGTCACGTCCTGTGTCCTGTGTTTGTCTAACTTGTGCGTCCAGACCGTCCAGTCATCTGATGAGTTGGGAGTAAGAAGACGTTGTTTCGATACATCTGACTTCTCGACAGGTCGTTTGGGTTGTGATATTTGGTATTAGTTATGTATATTATGGGATTGGGTGGACGCAGCTATGTGCGTGTGCACGTGAGCTAACGAGTAGCTGATTGTCTGTCATTCTTTCCGGCTCGCTATTTGAGACACGATATGATTGTGAGACACCGGCGTGTCTGCAGGACTCGTGCTGACTCTGCATGCGCTCGCTGCTCCCGGTTTGATCGTTGCCGCGGGGATGGGTTGGTTTCCTTCTTTGGTATCAGTTGTGAGCCGTGATCTTATGAAACTTGGCGTGAAGACGACCAAGGTTACGACCTCGAGGGGGGCGGACGCAGTCTGGTGAAAGGAGAAACACTGCGTTGTTTCTTGCTGACGGTCCTTGGATTGAAATGGAGCGCGAGAGTGCTTCGTCTTCCGGGTCGCACCTTGAGCTGATGTGCTTCTGAAAATGTCTGCGTGCGCCGGATGTCTCTGACGATACACGAGGGTTAAATGTCCTTGAAACACAATAAGCATGAGGAGAAGGGCGGAGGGGGGGGGGGGGGGGGGGGGGGCTGTTAATAGCCGGCCTACGAGGAATCGGATGGATTTGGTTTGGAGAGAAAACCACCTTCCACGACGACTTGAATGTGGCTCTCGCTGATGATTGGCCGACTGCGCGGTGTCTTTGGGGGGGGGGTCGGGGTCGGAGGGGGCTGATCGGGGAACAGGAAACTCAGGGGGAGGGGTTTCTGTGTCCGTGGAGGGAGGACGAGGAGGAGGATGTGGAAGAGGAGGAGGAGCAGGAGGGCTGAAACTGGGAGGGACTGCTCCTCCCCTGAGTCTGTCGGTCGCCGTGTCTCCCGCGGTGTCCCGCCATCGCCGCTATGGCCGACTGCCGGGCGAACAGGACGCCTGAGGAGCAAACGCCCAGCGTTAGTCGGCCTCGCACTTTCTTGTTATTCCTTTCACTCAGTACAGTTATGTTAGAAAACCCGCTTGCAGAGAACTGACATCTCACGGTAATGAAGGGCAGTCTTTAAGAGCAATTTAGCACATTTTTACACACCGCTTACTCTCTTTCTCTTTTTTGTGCACATAGTGAGAAAAATTTGTGGTGAATAAAGCCGACTCGGCTTGACTATGTTGGCTTTCGTACCTTTAACAGGCAACCGCAACAAAAAGACAATAAATAGGACAATTTAACTGGTTATTTGGTGAAATATGAAATAGAAATCAATGAATGACTTTAGTATTTTAGTATTTAGATGATAAAGACATCTTCATACAGAGTGTCCCCGATCAGGTCAACACTTAACAGCGGCTCTGATGTGATGTGACGGCTACCAGACATGATTGGTCTATGTTAAAGCGGAGAGCGAGTAATTACCTCAAGAAACAAGCTGCCTCCGCCCACACACACACACACACACACACACACACACACACACACACACACACACTCTGCAGGCACATAAGACAATAAGCCCCATCGACCTCAAATCCACAGTCCCAATTTTGAGATATTTAACTTTTTTAACTCTATTGGACTGCCACTTCATTACGATGGATTTTATAGCAAAGACATCAAATTGCGTGGAGGACTAAGCACCAGGGTGCTGCTATAACTTATTGAATTTCCTGCCTGCAATTACATCAGCAAACGGCCCCTCTATTTACCTGTGTAGACAACTCCATTTATTTCTATTGACATGTTGATGCTGCTAATGCCGCTGGTAGACAGGTTCAATGCGGTCTCTTGTCTATCATCTGTCAGGAGAGGGGGCAGAGAAAAAAAACTCAATATGAGCATTTAGAAAGGGAACAGAAGGAGCGGGAGCGGCGCCCGCTGGAGTATTGGTGATCATTCAGAGAGTGACAGGATAAGGAGAGCTTTATTAAAGAGTTCTGGGGAGAAAAAGAACTGTCAAAAGATGTTACAGCCATTTTGCACGCGTCCGTTATGGATGAATCCCCGCTGAGGAAAATCCAAAAATAAAACTTGTCTCGACTATTCAGCGGAAAATGTCAGATGAAAACCCGTCTTTTCGACGCAAATCGGCTCTGTGTGAGGAGTGCATCTGGGTGGAGACAAATAACAGTGTTTCGGGTTGTAATCTTTAAATGACAGTGTTTACGCGTGAGGGCCAGAGCCAGACGACCAGCGTGGGAATTAACCCGAGAGAGATTCTCACTCACTTCTTTTCCATCACGTATCAAGCGCAAAGCCCGCTATTATGACTAATACGAGAGAGGCGGTGATGCAGACAGAAATGATATCACGCGGGAGCAGATGGGCACCTTATTCTTACTTAAGCCCCCATCATTAAGTCCTGTGTGACTTATGGCGTTGTCACGGGGGGACGGCGCTGTCCGCGGCCCGCCGGCCCCTCGGCTGGACGGGGCATTTCTTTCTACTCAGGAGGAGGACTATTCCTTCGTGACTGCCCCGTGGCGCATGAGCCCATCAAATTACACGTGTGATATGACGAACTACGGGCGCGTTAGCCGTCGCACAGCTGGATCGCGGACAGCCTCCCCGGCGGGGGTCATTAGCTTTTCTTCTTTTCTGCCACCCACTGAGGCAGACACGGCGCCACTTAGGTCTGACGGGGAGGCGGCGGGCAAAATCCTACATTCTAATCTGACCTAATGTACAGAAAACAGTGGCATTCAGCTTCAGAGAAAACACTGCGCACAAACATTCGCATGCTGAGCTTCACTTGTCACATTTAAGTCTAATCTAACGTCTGCTGTATCAAACACGGATCACATTTATTGGGGTTTGTGCAGCTGACCTCTGCTGTTGACCTTTATGTTGACGGGCAGCTGGGTGGCCATGGCCAGCAGGTTCTGCTGCAGGGCGTGCTGCATGATCCTCTGCTGCTCCTCGGCCACCGTCATCATCTTCTTCTCCGGCGGCTCGCCGCTCTCCAGCTTCTCCCGGAGCTGCTCCAGGGCCGCCGCCTGGACGGCCGCCGCCGCCTGAGCCGCCGCCGCCTGGGTGGCCATGGCCGCTGCGTGTTGCCCGCTGGGCGACATGGGGAGCGCCACCCGGCTGGGCAGGCAGCCGCCGAAGAGGGGCTCTTCTGGGGAGAAGAAGACTATTAAGGAGGTGACATCCGTCTCCTCACATGCTGTCGCAAGACGGCTCTCATTGAATGTGTCACGGTCCTTTTCACTCGTTTTCCATCCTGTGAATTTCATATTAGTATTGGAATCAAATAAAAAGCCCAGGATTTATCAAATGAAGTTGACAATCCTTTAATTAAAGGCATGTTTACATACATATTTCTCCATCTGGATGTGTATATTGAGAGGGAAATCTGATATAAGGGAAAGCCAAAGTGGAACCGAGAATGGAGGGTTCTAGTGGTACCGTCGTAAAGCCAACTGGACTGAAGGGAAGCAGAGATCCAGCCGACGTGGTTGCTGCTTGGGGTGGAAATGCTTTGGCACGGCGGCGTGTGCATTAATAAACGGTGCAGCTGGCAGACTTCAATCATTATATTTGTTTTAAAAATGGATCTCATTTAACATCTTAACCTTGAAGACGAACTACACCGGCGCCACTAAAACATCTTAAGATGAAAATAAGCGAGCTTTGCCTCGCGTGTCCTTGGCACGCCAGACAGTCCGCCGCTCTTTTTTCTGAGATCTGTAATCAAAGTGCTCCTGTGCTCTTGGTGGTGCATGAGTGTGTTCAAAGGTATGAGGAAGTCCTGCAAGATGTTTCCTCTTTAGGGGAAATGACCATATCGCCCGCAAGTTGCATGAGAATGAATGAAGAGCTGTTGTGACATTTATTTCTGACATGTGAACATGCTGACTTCTTCATAAGTGGACCGGCAACAATCACGCAATAATGTCTCTAACTCATGGAACATTCTCTGTGACAAAGTATTTGGCGAGGAGGAAATGAATCATCCTTCAGAGTGACAGAAAAAGATTTAGTTTATTTAAGATCACGCTGTTTGCATCATGGCCAGAATTAACTGAGAATGGAGGGACGCGCGATCGTGTAGCAGATAACGGCTTGTAAAACGGTAAACTGTGCAATGTTTGTTGTTTGTTAATGAGTTTATGTTTTTTTTATGGGTATCCTGCACACATTTAGTCAAATACATCATCATGCATTATCATTTAATTAGAACGCATACAACCTTTTCGTTGGGGGTTTTTAAGATACTGTTAAAGCCCATTAAAGCGAGCATGCAAAGTCCTGTTGAGAAAGGTCTCGGCCCTGCAGGAGCGCCTTGCACTGGCAATCTGTCTAGTCAACCATCGTGTGGTTGAGGTCACATGAATCATTTTTTGGTAAACATTGTAAAAGAAGATAAAGACTGAATAAACAAGCAGAAAGGCTTTTAATCTGCAGACGGAGTTTCCTGCATGTCTGGTTGCAACAAACCAACATGCCAAAGCTCAACATACGGTGACTCTCTCCACTTCCTAAATACCCTGCTGGGGGGCAGAATGCTGATGCAACGTGGTGAAAAAAGTGTGTTAACTCTCTAAAAAAAACAGTAGAACCAACTTCAATCAATTATTAAATTATTAAAACGTGAGTGAGAGTTTAGAGCTGGAAGTTGATTTCTGTGCTCGTATCTCGTGTCTTTCTTTACCTTTCTTGATCACAGGCACATGTGAGATATGGCCACTGTTGTGAGTGGGCATGGACACGTGGGACATGTGCATCTTTGGTGAGGACAGCATGGAGGGGGGGCCCACGGGGGAGTAGTTGAAGATGGCCGAGCCGTAGCTCTGCCGGCGGCCTTCCCGCCGGTTGCTGTCGATAGCTGCCTGAAGCTCTCCGGGGGAGCTCAGTCCCCGCTTTTCACATTCATACGGGTAGAGGTACTTCATATACCTGCAGCGAGGAAGACACCAACGATTCATCAGGCCTTTTGTCTCATATTGTCAATCAAATCAATTGGTTTTCGCAGGCTGGGAGTGGGACAAGAGGGGAAAAAAGCCCCCGAATGACCATTAAAGCTACATGATGATAAAATAATTCCATGGGTTTACATGAAAAAATGGAAACAGAGTTAATTGCACTTTGAATGTTTGGCTTTCAGGCACTAGCACAATTTACAAATGATAAAACAGTGCCAGATAGTTCCTCTGTGACGTTGTCACACAAAAACATCTTTTTTTTTAATCATTGTGAAAATGAGAAAAGTAATGGGGGATAAGGAATCTGCTGCACAACACAAAAGACCCGATAAAACCTAAATGTGTATTTTGGATGTTTTCTTTCCACTAGTGGATGATATGGAAGCAAAATGGCACAAACTCTCCAAGTCGAGGAGAGTGCAGGATGAAATGATGGCGAGGCCTAAAGCTCGAGGGTTTCTACACCTTCAGGCACATAAACTTTCATCATTCAGATCAAATAACACGGATTCCTTCAGTTTCAGGAATCAGAAGAAGGAGGTTATAAAATGTCACCTCTGTCAAAGAAATCTAAATGTTTCCCACTATGCTGTTGAGGATGTGATGTCAGAAGTGACGCGGTGACACTGAGACTCTGGATTTAAGGCCGAGCCGTAATTATCATGAATCACAGCGAGGGCCTCACGCGCGCCGCCGCTGCAGAGAGGCGCGGAGGAAGAAGCTCTCGTAGAACACTTGTGGCCGGCCCGGAGGGGGCGGGGCCTGTGAGTGCAGGGTTATCGGGCATCAGAGGGGTTATCGCCCCGTGCTCGTACTCACTGCGTTCGGAGAGTGAAAGCTGCACTGGTGATGGAGGTAGGGAGGTTAAGGCCTTTGGTGATCTCGCGCCATATTTTCTTATTGATGACCTCCACTAAGCCGCCCTTTTCCGTGACGAGCTTGTAGAGCATGTAGAGATCCAACACCTGCTTGGCCATGATAGGAATCCGATTCACTGGAGTCCCTGCAGAAAGCAAACACAATATCCGCAATCAATCCCATTAACTTTGGTTCCTCCCGTCGATGCGCTGCCGCGCCGTCTTATAAGGCCAATTTATCTCGAGCCGGTCAAATGTCTGACAGCTCTGTCAACGGGCAGAAATATAACTTCACGAAAGAGAGAGAAAGAAAAAGTCTCGTCCACTGGAAACAGCCTCGTTGATTGTAAATGGATTATTTTCATGACAAGGGAAATTATCTCTTCAAAGGAAACTTTAATTATGTAAGAAAAACAAAACATAAATATCAAGCCTTTACAAAAGTCAAAAGGTAATTAACATGGGAATGAAATGAACCGCAGATAAATTAGTCTGGACCTGTTTAAGACTCACAAATACAATCGGTAGGAAAATTGGAGGTAATCTTTGATTAATGACTGCCAGCCCGCCCCCTTATTAGCAAAATAAAGGGAGTCTCACAATCATTTTCATTTGCAATTTAATGTCGGGCAATAAAGAGAACGCCGGGCTCTTTGTGAGCTTTCCAAAGTGGTTGACCTGAGATAATTAACCTGCATTTTGCTGATAGAGTTCCATTGTGCCCATCGGATTTACCATAATAGCAATCGATGGCTGCAGAAATATAGTGCAAACAACAGCAGTGGGGCCCGTACAGCGCGCAGGAGGTGAGCTCTGAAGTATCGTCTGAGGTGGTAAAACCACATCAATTAAGTCCAGTAATTACTGCTTTATTTCGCAGCGCTGGCATGTGGACGGATGAGACGCTATTAGAACAAAAGATTGACGTCCCCCCGTGTCCTCGCCAGACAATGCCAGCGCTGCATGTGAAGCTGCGGAGCTTCCACGCCGCTCTGTGGTACAGAAAGTGCAAGAGTGGCGACAAAAAAAAAAGAAATAAAGTGAGGCAGGTAAAGAATTAACCTTCACAAACATGAGGTTTATGAGTCGGCCCCTTTAAAGGGGGACGAAGGTCAACATGGCAAATCTAATCATTAGATGAAGTTCCACTCATCCAATGACAAAACCATTTTTTAAAGTCTGATACTATATGGTTTTGGTCTCGATAGCTTATATCTGCAAAAACGGCACTGTTTATACACCGTTTATAAAACACTCCTGTTCAAAGTATATTAATGGCTTAAAGTTATGCGTTAAAAACTGCCAGTAGGCTTTGAGTAACCGCTATTCACTCTTAAGTCACTATTACAAAGTAGCTACCAAGGCGAGAGAAAAGAAGCAGCCTGTCCAACATTATCAGGTGGCACATTTTGTTTTATTCCTTTTTTTTTAATCGCCCACATAAACATCCCAACTAAAACCTCAGTTAATGTGAGTTGATGGGAGTCTATGGAGCAGAGCCTGACAGTTGTCTCAACCTGGGCACAGCTGCACGACGCTCGGCTGTGATTGGCCAGTCTGCGTTTAAGGGGCGGGACTTAACCAAGAGTCAACAGCGTGTCTTTTGTTTATGGGGAAAACACGGCCTTCACATTCTGTTCAGCTTGTATTTGTACTGTACATTTATTCACTTCCCTGTATATTTAGTGAATTAGGAACTACACTGAAATTGTCAACATATAAAGAAAATACACATTTACATCCCACTGAGCCAGACTTTAGCTAAAGACTGTTATCATGAGTTGTATTTAACTAATATATTTGAATTGTTTGTTTGTCAAATTTAAAAAGTGAACAAAAACAAAGAATATAGGATTTTAACGCAGCTACTGGCCGGGAGAATGAAGTTCTACGGTTCAGTACCAGTGTGACAAAAGCAGCGCGGGGGCTCACTCCTCCTTCAGCTTTATCTTTATGACCACTGATTATAATGTGCCTCTGTGCGGGTCTGTTAAACTATTATTTTGTGGGAGACACAATAGCCCACCAAACAAGGATTGAGGCAATAAATAAAAGCGCCGGCCTTTGTCTGACAGAATCTGAGAAGAGACAAGCCTCTTAAAACAAGATTTATGTGCTTTCAATACTGAGGGTGATGTATTCGGCTCTCTGATTCCCTGAAAGAGATATAAGGAATAAAAGAGGTTGGAGGTCTTTTGTCAGCACAAACTATCTCATCAGGTCGTGTATCATTATGACAATGAGCAATGGTGGAGGAAGGTGGAAGAAATCCACTTTGCTCCGAGCCGTCTTCCGTTAATCCCTCAGCTGCAAAGAGCAAGCAAGTTTGTAATTGGAACAACGTGGAGCATCAGGGGCTCTGGTAGTGCAGTAATCATCTTTATGCTTGGCTTCATCGCTGATGCGCTCACTTTGCACCTCGCAGCCAATAACGGGATGAGATTTTCTCCTCCTCATTGACTTTGCTCTTTTAACCCACGGAGTGAACGATTAATGCAGCGTCACGGAGGGGGGGGGGGGGGGGGGGGGGCCCCTTATGTACCTCTGTTTCCGCCCCCAAAGGAAAAACGGGAAAAAGGAGGGGGAAACCCCCCCCCCTTTGGGCATTAGGTTTTTTTTTTGGGCAAAAAGTCCCCTGGAAAAAAACAAATACCGAACGGAGCCAATAATGGATTTAGAGCCATACAAAAATCATTTTGTATGTAAATGAGGAAGTAAAAAGACTGCAAAGGCCAACTCAGTAAGTGAGTTGTTACCTGCGAACACGTACGTTTGTTATGAAAAGATAAGACGTGGACGTGTTGCTGGTTTTCATGTCGGAGAGGGTGGGGCTGTCCTCTGCCAGCTGCTATAAGGCCTTTCAGATGTAGTCAGAAGTTAATTTCGTGGTGTCTTCCTATTTGCCGTTGTGTTTTGCACTTCAGGGCCACCGTACGAAACGCACAAAAAATGGGAATAGTTTGGTGCGAACAGATCAGGTACCGAGCGCCTTTGCTTCCGTTACACAGGATTGTGGGCAGCGTGCTTCTCAATGACACCACAAATAAACCATTGCCGTATGGTCATTAATTCTTAACGTGGCTAATTTTAACCGAGCGGCATAACGATAAGAAAAACCCGTATGTGCCAAGTGGAATCATCAGATGTGATTGCTGAACACTGCATTGTGTTAACATTCTGTTATTTTCTGGTTTGGGTTTTGTTGCGCCACCATTTGTTTTACCTAGAAACGCCACTGTGTATAACTGATGTTGGGTAACACGTTTTCATTTTAGGAAATTGTCAATACCGATAACAAGAGACTTTTCTTTGAAAAACCTCATGTATTTTTCTGTTTAACAAGTTTAAATGTCAATTGTAACAAAAACACGAGCAGCTACACGAGAACGTTGCTTGAATAAAAGTCTACAAATGAGAGGAAACTTCAAATATAGAAACGATAAGATAATTCACTGCAATAAATAATATGTAATTATAACAGAAAATGAGCAGAGACTTCTGCAGTTGCAGAACTTAACAAGCAACCAGCACCAGCTGTGAAAGCGCGATGCAGCGGCAAAGTAAAGAGGAATATTTAGTGTCCCCGCGATCGAAGACTTGGCCGCTCTCAAGTAGCCTTTTCTTCTGCCACATACTAACCTTCAGCAATTAGGTACGGAACAAAAGTTGACTTATTTGAGAAAAGGTGCTGATGGTAGTCCTCAGAGATAATAATCAATTAATAACCACAGCCCCGGGGCAACAGTAAATCACCCTGGGTATTTATCAACACACAAAGGAGGCCATTATAGCCATTATGTGCTTTACTGTTGATGGAATCTCTGGTGAAGCGCTTCTGACACTGAAAAACCATCACAAAGGTTTTCTGAACTGTCTGCTTTCCATCCGTTAAAAGTTCTACGGAAAAGAGAAAATATGTAGTAGAACTTCTGCGTCGTCACCACAGCTGTCTGCGTAATGTAATAAAGCAATACAACAAAGACTGTCCTGGATTCAGCAGATGAGGGGACTGGGTTCTGGTTTTGCCCAACGCATTTCATTTTCAAGTAAGGGGACATGAATCCAGCAATAGTGACTGAATGACAAAATGTCACTTTATTAACATAGAAATTCACGATTTATGTTAAAAGATCCAGTTGGGCCTGATATTCTATACATATACTATGTATATACTACTAGAGTAGATACTGGACTTCTTCACAGACGGCCCCCAGTGCATTAGAGAACCACAGCGGTGTCCCGCAGGGCTGTGTGCCGGGGCTCCTCTCTCTTTACTGGTGCTAATACCATTACCAAGTTTACACAGGGCACACCCGTATGGACCTCAACCACAATGATGAGCCAGCCTATCGGTGAGGAGCTCCATCACCCCCCGTCCTCAAGTAATTGCTCACACGTGTCCTTTTGGAAAGCCATGACTGATGTAAGCTAAATGACGGGTAATGTAATGTAATGTACGGATGAAAGTGTCTTTTGTCCTTACGTTTGGAAGACTTGTTGGTTTCACTTCTCAAAAAAAAAAAAAAAAAACCCTGTGCAAAATTGTTCTGCGGATTTATGAAAATAAGGAACTTCTAAAAGTAGGAACACATATAATGAGGAAAGTGTTTGCAGTGTGAACAAGAGCGTGTGACCAAAATGCTATAAAAAAACGCCTAAACCGTATTGTCTGGATTTAACCAGCCAACACATCAACAGGGGTAAAGGAGCGCCGTGTGTTTCGACACATTTCCACGGGATCTCTGCTTAGCGAGCCGCTCCGGCTGACATTTCTTTGTCAGTGCAGAATGACAGTGATGTTTTCAAGGAACATTGATTGCGATATTTGGAGAAGTCCACTCTGATCACAGTTGTCAGAGTCGAGCGCTGGAGATAGGCTGCTGCTGATCTGCGCGACGCCGACAATGTCTCCCTACACTAAGTCCAAAATCGATCTCTGATTGAACGCTCCAACAACAATCCATACTGTCTCTAAACCCAAGTGACCACCCGACTACATCATTACTTCATCAACGTGTGCTTTCCTGTGGCTGTCACAGCGCACGGCTGGAATGTGGTCAAATGGTCAAAATATAAGGGATTTGTTGGAGGTATTCTGGCGATCACAAAGTAATGTGTCAAAGACCAAGCATCCTTTGCTCTACACACGGAAACGTAGTCAAATTTAATTTAATAAACAGCATATTGTTTGACATTACATTTAATTTCAGATGTGATCACACATGTGAATATGATGAAAAATAATGAACAAAAACATACAGAGCGCTTTGGCAAAAGGCTTTCACACATGTGTCAAAGGTGTAGGTTACATGAAATTTATCTTTTTAGACTTGTCATTTCTCTACAGTTAATTATCAGTAAAAATCAGATTTATAAAGTGATTGTTGACTGGAAAAAGTAATATCCATCATTATCTAAAATTTAATACAAATCAAACAAAGTATTCCTGAGAGTACATCGTTTTTTCTCTAATTCCTAGTCGATGGCATCGTAAGTCAGTGTCGGGCAGGTGAAGTCAAACCTATTAACGGACATGTAAAACATGCAGAGGACGAGGAATTGAAAAGCACAAAGGCATGCCACTCCGTCCGTGTGCTCCCAAAATAGACGCTCATTGTAACTGGCAGTGCCTTTTATTCTCTGCTCGCCAGTTGACTTCCTCATATTATAGAAGGGTCTAAACACAAATCTATTTCCCCAACAAAACAATAAAACAGAGCCTGTGTGGGGAAAACAGAGCGTGACACGGGGGGGGTCAGTGAAGGAAGAGAGATCGCCATCTTAGGAGGCGTTGCCCTCCACTGCGTCTCGTCTCCTTTCCTGGACGGTTTGCGCGAGTGGATTCGGATTACTTCAGTCACCTGTACGGATGGGTTTGTCTGGCCATTTTTTCCCCTTGGTCTTTTGTCTCCTGTAATTAGCTTTTCAGGAGCCGTGGCCCCCGGACAAGGATGTTTTTTTTTTTGATAAATGAAGTAAAATCAAAACCTTGAACTCCAAAATTGAACTCTGTTGCGACTGGTGTTAGTTACAAATGTCTGAAATTGATTAAAGGGACAAAATAGGAAGCCTCAGGGAATAACGACAAGCCGACTGGTAATCTTAAGCCTTTCTTAATTTTGCCCAAATTTAATTATTTTATAATTTTCCTGATTCAGCTGAGGAAAGGTTGCAGACATCCAGCGGTTTAATTAGTCAGTGCATCACCAGAAGGATCCCAGAGGACTGAAGTCATACGGTCTGCGTGCAAAGTAAATGGCTAAGATAAGAAACGTTATTGTGAATGAATTGTCCGAGCAGGAGCATACGAAGACTGAATAATTGAATAAAGTGGAAACCCCATATCTTACCATCGTTACTCCATAATGTGAATTGAAGCATACAGTAGATTAAAATGCTGTTGTCAGCACGTTTATTTATAGGCGTGTACAAACATCTTGGCCCGCTGTGCTGCCGGCTGTCAAAGGAGCGCGCTCCACTTGATAACACGGTGCTGTGCATTTAGAGTTATTGGTGGTTAACACTGATTCGGCTTATGGTTACAGGCCAGTTACATATGCTCTCTTTGCTTTCTTCTTGATCCAATCCGTGACGTGATCTTTGACCTGATGGACCTGTATTTCATTTAATACCCTCCCTTACAATGGACTCCATATGCATGTAGTGTACATTTTTATTAACTCATGATGATGATGAAACCCGAACCTTTAAAAGGTCCTAATCCTAATCAGGAGGTTGTTGAAGGAGAAGGATGTGGAAAGCACTCACCCCGTTTCTGCATGTAACTGAAAAGGTCATCGAGAAACTCTTTGCGCTTTTCATCGTCATCCAATTCATACAACTGAAAAAGAGAGAAGGAGACCAATTAATGAGGTATTAAACATGTTCATCAGAGGAAACCAGGCGGCGAGTGTGGAGGACTCTGCGTCTGCAGAGCGGCGCGGCTGTTTAGGATTATGACCAACGCGCACGATGAGACAATGAGCTGTAGACAATCAGAGGAGCCTTGAGCCCAGCGAGGGAATCACACGGCAGCCACTGAAAAGAAATCCAGCAACAATATCAGGAAAATGCTTCTTTTGCCATTCTCATATCTGGGGCGCCTCAGAGAGGTATGTCTTTGTATGTCACTCAACCTCCTAGTTAACCCAGTCACTGAGAGTAACATACAGTACGGTGTTTAAAACGTGTACCCACCCTGTTCTCATCCCGTTTGTGCTTGTATCTACAATGTGGAATGCACTGTGATCGGCATATAAGCCTGGTTATTGAGCGCGAGGACCAGGCAGCGACCTCCGGGTCTGAACAGGGAAGTCGATGCAGACGTACCTTAAACGTGCATTCTCTCTAATGGCCATCAGGGGGCGACTCATCTTATTGAATAGAAGTCTATGAGAAAATGACTAATTCTCTCTTGATTTATTCCCTCCGTAAACAGCGGAAAAATACGTTTATGTTTTCAATCTCTAGTTTCAACTCTACTTCATTACAGCATGATGTTTATTTACTAACCGATGTTCATTTAGAGTCAAAAAAGACGTGTGCTTCAGGTCTCAAACACAGTGTTATCCTGTCTGGGACTTTTCCGTTTAAAAACAGTTAACCATTTTTACAGGGTGTTTTAAAAAAACACATTGTAAATTGTAATTGATTTGGTAGTATATGTTTTATGTAGGATTTGGTTGTATTTAGCTCCACCCCCTTGCGTTCACTTCCGGTTAAACAAACAAAACAAGGTGTCATCGGCCAAAATACAGATCTCAAGGCTCCAAAGACAAAATCCTCAAAACAATGGACGACGTCATGCCGGCTACATCTAAAAAGCTTTCTGTAAAAATATTGTTACAGAAAGTTACAATGCCAATTTCTGTAAAGAATCTGTAAGAAGGGAATATAATGTGGACCAGAACTTTTTCCTTGGTCCGTGACGTGTGTTTCTTATAGATATATATAGATATAGTATATTACAGGTCATTTAGCAGACGCTTTTATCCAAAGCGACTTACATGACACTTTAAACCCATGGCTTTTTCACATTTTGCCCGGGGAGCAATTAGGGGTCAACTCGGTCTCCGTTTTTGTGACATCATTACTATGGCTATATATATACACATTTTTGAAATCATACTTAACAATGTAACCCTTTTTGTGTTGTTTTTCTATTGCATAATTATGATTATGTACATTTCTTATTGAATGCAATACTGAGCGGTTGAAAATAACATATTTGCTGTTAAAGTGGTGTTGACCTTTTCTTCGTGTACTACTAACATGCAGCGTGTGGAGCTCTTTTGGCCACCTTACGTTCATCCTTTCTTTATTCAGAAAATAAATATAACGACTGACAACACAAACCGTCTGTGTAGCATCTCAGCAGGGCGTCTCGCCGTGTCTGTCAGGCCTGTGGCCCTCAGTATATTTTAGTAGCACTAGTTTCCTTATTGGCATACCCATTATGCTCCTCATCCAGCCCTATTCACTGGGGCGGCTGCGGTGTCAAAGGGGCTTTTAAATGGGTCTCTCCAGCCAGATACAGCTGATGGAAATATGTTAGTGGCAATGTTCACTTTCAGTAAGGACCAGAGCCACGTTAACAGGCCCACTTAATCAATACTGGAAGACAGAGGGGTGACCTTTGGAACCAGTGGGGCCCTGCGGACGAGGCCCCGGAGATAATAACTGATCATTTAGAAGTGTATTAGCTGTCACCAATATTAAAGGACCAGAGCGGGTCAGCACTCAGGAGGAAACCATAGGGGGCGGGGGTTTGGTAAGGGGAGGGTTCCGGAGGCGCTGTGTATGTGTGTGTTTGTGTTGGGGGGGGGGGGTGAGTGCTGCACTGCAGGCAGTCCGTGGCGGAGGGAATATTGAAAGGTAAAGGAACAGCAAGCCATTGCAAAAATGTTAAGTGCACAAATGCACAGCGGATGACAATGCCGAGGATCAATTGTGAGGCCCACGGAGTGCGAGGCCGTATATGCAGAGACAGTGATGAGCGTGTGCTCACGGAGGTGATGACACAACACACACACACACACACAAGCACACACAATCTAAAGCCTGCGAACATCTGCTGAAACGCGCTTCAACAAGCTCGTAAAGTGAATCCAAAAGCAACTTCAAACTCCTTTGTGCACCTTTGTGTCCGACTGCAACCAGTGTGGCATCATGCTGCATCAAGCTGCATCAGGTTCCCGCCAGAAGAACTGCCTTTTCTATTCTTCCTAGACTGCCTACAGGGACTGGACATCCAAGGAAGTAGCCACGTTTAATCTGCTGTGAGCATTATTATGCACAACTTTATTGAGTCAGGTTGTCTTTCAGGCACCAGGTCAAACCGGAGAGGAGCCGAGGGTGAGAAAAACCGCCGGACGGCATTCCTCTCTGTCCCCACCTAACCCCCCCTCCGCCCCCCCGTGTGTGAAGTAAATGAACAGACAGACAGGCTGAGGCAGGCTGAAGGACAGCGGGTTCAGCTGAACCTGGAGGCTCTCAGTCACCGGGGTCGGCTGGGGGAAAGCGGCCGACGTTGAACTAGGAAACGCCTTCCGGCCTTCTTTTCTCCCCTCGCCGGAACTTAACCTGCGACTCGGGAGTCCAGACGGGCCGCACTCACGAGGACACTTCTCCGCTCGTAGATACCCTTCTGTGGGCTCGTATCGCACTCATGAGACTGCTTTTTATGCGGTCGGACTCTTTGCTATCAGTACAATGACGCTGTTGAAACTCAGGTTCTGTCCAACAAAGCTCACTAAATGTTGACGTTGGCATTAGTTGCAGGAGTTTTATTGCAGGATCCGTTGTGTTTATTTGTGTGATGTGCGCTAGACAAATCGGACAGGAGGACAGTTATCAACGGAGCCATTTATTTACGCCATCAATCGTGGAAGGAAATAACCACTTTCTACTTTGTGCACGTTGTGAAATTCCCACATAATCTGGTAGACTAAATGCCGTCATATCGGCGTTCCGCGGATTTAATCAAGCCGTATCCCACATGTCGGTTAGATTACCACAGCTGTATGGACCCCAAGCAAACACATTTGATGCGATTTAATTAGAATAAACGATTGTGGTTGTTAAGCTTCTTCTATCATTGCACCATCAACGCTCAAAATAACATCTTATAGCGTTATTATTTGAACAATATGGTTCACACACATTCTTTTATACACATGTCAGGTTTCTCTACCTCTCAAACCTACAGCTAATTTCTGATTTAACAATGTCAGACTCCAGAGACAAAAGGAGATTCCTGGAATCGCGTTTAAAAGAGTTGAAATGATTTTAACTTTAAATCATATTTGTGACATTAAGCCGTTATCTTGATTTACAACATTAAAATGACGCTGAAATGACAACGTGAAATGATGACACCTTTTACTTTGAATATTTTTGTAAGCTTCTGTAAATCAGAAGACATTAAAGTGTGTCTGTGTATGAGTGTGTGTGTGTGTGTGTGTGTGTGTGAGTGTGTGTGCGTGTGACAATGCTGCTGGTCATGATGGCAACCTGCCAGTTGGCTGCGTGCCACCGGTAACAACACGGCACTACTGCTTTCCTTTCCCCAGCTCTGTCTCTCTCACACACACCGACACCGACACCGACACACCGACACACACACACACACACACACACACACACACACACACACACACACCGACACACACACACACACACACACCGACACACACACACACGCACACGCTCAGCAATAAGAGAAGATGTGGCAGCTAATATGAAGGGACATTCTGTGCCTCTGGAGAATTAAGTGGCAACAGGCTGACCGTATACTGTCAGTTACACACACACACACACACACACACACACACACACACACACACACACACACACACGTCCCTGTATTTCATCTTTGCGAGGATACCTACTGATGGGAAGTTTACTCAGACAGGAAAAATAAAAACCGAAAGAAGGAGAAGCCATTTTTATTTTACACATACAGGAAGTGGTTTTCTGCATTTAACCCATCGCACACAGCGGGAGCAGCGAGCTGCCGTAAAGGCGCCCGGGGCCGCGAGACATGGAGACAAGTGGGGTTCCAACCGGCAACCCTGCCGATTCCCAGCGCACCCTCTCTACTCCATGCAGAATATACTATAGCTGCACTGGAAGTTTACTTTGATAAGAGACCGTTCACGTTGAAGCTCAGGGCCATTGACCCGGCGATGGTAATCGTTCAGTTAGAGGTCAGAGTGTCTCGTAACCCTGCTAAACTGTACACATCAAAGATGGCGACAGCTGGATCCTGAAAGACCTTTGAAAACACCATAAAAGGTCCACCTGCAGTCGCAGAGGTGGAGATAAAAGGGCCAATGGGTCCACTTCTGCTCGTGCACCGTGATGCAGTGATGGCAGCCATTATGAGGTGCTTTCACATGTCTCCTTCATCTGGGCCACTTCAAAGGCCAACGTGGCCTCCGGCCAAATACACGGATACAAGGCACCGTAAATCAGCGCAGACACCAAATCCCCACGCTGTCCCCCACAAGCCTCCCGCTTCTCATCCTTTCTGTCGCTGTAATATGAAGATGCAAAAGTGCATCTGACTGGGAACAATACAGTTTAAAAATGTGACAGCACTCATGTTGGCCACCTAAAAAAGTGTTTAGTGTGCATCAAATATATATATATATATATATATACTATATAATTATAGTATATATACACTATATACCAACTATAGAAGGATATTAAGTGAAGTGGCCCTGAGGTGACGCATGCATTATCTGGGTTTTGCATTGCGTCATCTTGTTGTAAGGAGACCGGAGTACAAATCTACTTTAAAAGAAACTTATTTCTGAACAGTTTCTGAAAGGTGGG